TGATGATCAGACTGCAAGCACAATGAAGTGCTTCCTCCTCTTCCTCCTCCTCCAAAGTCATTATTTCCAATCTGATTCTCCCTCCTTCTCACCAAAGTCTGCCATTGCTGAGCCCATCAAAGTATGGGAATGGGTGGACAAAGGCTAAATATTCCAGGCCAAAGGAACATCATGCTATGAGGCCTGCATTAGAACGAGAGCTACAGAGCACCTGAATAAGGTGGGAGTCCAGGACCGGAGCAGGGAAGACCAGGCTGCTGAGCAGAGGCTGGGATCCAGGAACAGAGGATCTATCCCTGGAGGCAGAATCCAACAGTTAGGAATTGAAGCCTTAGACAGCCTTCCCAGTTCTCAGGCTATCCTATCACATCACTGTGACAGCTTTTACATTCTCAATCTTTATAGCTACTCAGCACCTCTGGCCTCTGACCCCTGAAGGACCTGACCATATCTATCTGGATTGAGTAAAACCATTTCCTTTGACTGAATAAATGCTGCAAAGCACAGGAACCATTCTGGCCTCTTCCCTCATATCCCAACCCAACCACCTGCTCATGCAGAACTGTTCCAGGAGACATCAGGCTTAATGGAAGAGAAGGTCAGGGAGATTCCACAGATTCTTCCCACCACAGAGGGGCTGTCAAGCCCTGACAAGAAACTGGAACCAGTGCTCAGGAAGTGTTATGGTTTGTGTGTAGATGTCCCCACAAAGTCTCATGCAATCATGGGTCAGGCTTCTAGAGGTTTTTCTAACTCATGGTCCCATGTTGGGATTATTGGTGTAAGTGCTACTTCCAACGTAGGGTAGATAGCCTGCATACAATGTAAAGGAGAGAAAGAGGCTTCCTTTCTGCTTTTCCTTTTTTGCTCTTGCTGCTTTTGCTGTTTTCCACGTCCATAAACTGTTGCCTCTGCCACATGACACCCTGCCTTGAAGCCAGCTGATTATGGACTGCAACTTCCGCAGACTCTGAACTAAATAAACCTTTCCAGGGGTTGGGGAGATGGCTCAGTGAAATAAGCGCTTTCCTCGCAAGTGCAAGGGGCTGAGTTCAATCCCTGGTTCTGCAAAAATAAACTAAATAAACAAATAAACCTTTCCTTCCTTAATTATGGGTATCAGGTATTTTGTCTCAACAAGAGAAAAGTAACCAAGACGGAACTTGGAACTGGGAGCAGGGCCATTGCCGTGACTGCACCTGATCATGTGGTTAAAGAACCTTTGTGAATGGCCTATGGAAAGAGTTTGGAAATTTTCAGAGATTTTACCAGAAAAGAGTAGTTCTGGAATATATTAGCTCTTCTGTATGGGAGATTCTGCTCAGAACTCAAAAGACCAGAAGACTGATAGATCCTGCTAGTAAAGACAAGGTTCTGGAGATTTCTTCAGGGAAGAAAGATTGCATTGATTGTTGGATTCCAGATAAAGTATGTTATGGCTTGGCAGAAAATTTGTCTGCAATTTGCTTGTGTCCAGAGACTTTGCCTGAGACTGAGATTAAGGGCGGCAGACTGATTAATCCGGAAAAAAAAAAAAAGTCAAGTCTATTAAATGTTAAGGCAATCACATGACTACTGTGGGAAGTTTTTAGTCAGATTTATGTTGAGAATCAAAAGCAAGGAGCCCAGTAGGATGATTTAAAATGCTGTGAGTTTGGCCAGAAAAGAAGCTCCAGGAAAGCTGTGTATTGCAAAGATGGAACTGAGGAGATCCCAATTGCTAAGAAGGAAAAGGAAAATATACAAGATGGCCTCAAGGCATCACAAAAAGCAACATGTCCCACTGTTTGCAGTCTCAAAACTGTAAAGGTGAGGGGAAAAAAACTGCAGAGTATTATGTGTCAGAATGGCAGCAACACAGAAAATCTGTTGCTCAGAATCAGGTTCAGAGTGCTCAGCAATCCAGAACTTTACCCCTACAACCAAGAGAAAAGGAAGTCTGGCCACTCGTCCAGCTGGTAGCAGACCTTGGCATCATCCATATGGTGCTGGTTTTAGGTGCACAAAGAATGCAAGGGTTTTGAGGTTAAGAAGGCTTCCACCTAAGCCAGGCAAGGGATATAGCTCAGCAGCTCAAGTGCCTGCCTGGCAAGTGTAAGATTGTGAGTTCAATTTCTAGTACCAATAAATAAATAAACAAACAAAGAAATAAATAAAACTTTCATCTAGATTTCAGAAGAGATCTTGGAAAGCCAGGCATTGTGCTCCCTGAGAGGGCAGTATGTGAAACTGTGAATGAGAAGCAAAAAGTGCAGTGGAGAACCCAGAAACATGGAAAATCCAGTGACATGAACCATCTAAGTGTCAAGATCTGTTGGTCTCAACGTGGTTTGCTGTACCCAGGGAGAAACAGTGGCAGGAATGAGGAAAAGATAGACAAGAAGAGCTGGGTTAGGTGGTGGCTCCTAAGGGCCTTTATTTACACTGTTACAAAGTTGCAAGTCACAAGGTTGTCTAGCAACCAACAGCTCACAAGGTCCTGGCAGGAAGTTTTTTTTTTTAATTGAGAAATAAATATGAATGAGACAGTTTCACAGCTGATTAGTAGGACAGTTTTGCCAGGCAGGATGTTTTTCTCAACACTGAGATAGCTTGACTGCTTTGCTCAATCCTTGCATCTTTCCTTAGATGTTGGGAGCCACTGAAAATGAAAATGATCCCATGTGGGAGGGTAGGATGAGATCTCATTGCCTAAAGCAGTCATTTTAATATCACAGGTGTGTGAATTCAGCAAGACATTCCAAAATAGTCCAGTAGTTCCACAATTGTGGGTTTTCTGTATGACTGGCAATGTCAGAAGTTGTTGACTTGAGCCTTTTACAGCTCAGCATAATAATATGTCTTTACTTTTTATACCTCATTTTTATACTTTTCTGCTGGATGGTTAAGACCAAGATAAAGCAAGACCTACATAACAAGAATTGTAGCTTTTGTATCTGATAAGGTCAGTCATATCCCCTCAGAATTTATTCTGAATCCCTGTTCCACAGTTTGTAGATCCTTTGTCAGTGACAGCCATGTAGATGAGTCATGGCCATTGCTTGACCAATTTGCTCCCTGTGAAAGCCTGAGAGAGTGTTTTCTTTCCATGTTAGTCTCCTTAGACACACTCTACATCATAGATCACTTTCCTCTGTGGCCCCATTACCTCTTTGATCAAAAAATTTGGGACACAACTGAGTTACATGGTGCTACAGTATAGGTTCTCCTATGTCCTGAGTCTTCACTGACCTTGGAAGGTTAGGGCCAAAGTTTTGGCTGTCCTTGTAGCCCTTCTTTTTCTCTAATTTTTGGTCTGAAAACTTAGGTTGTCAACCCTCCAGAAGAGAAGCTTAATGATATTATTACCCTATAACATATGCAGTTTAGATTAATCTCATTATCAGTCTAAATATCAAACATCTTAGGTATAACATGGAACAGGTATTTTTCATCAAGTATTGATATGTTAAACTTTAAGTTACTACAGGATATGACAAAAAAATTTAAAAACTTGAAATACATTTTTAAAAATAGGAATAAACAATTGCATATTTTTACACACGTTTAGAAATCTACCCATTTACAGCATTGTAGCAGGACAGTCCCACAACACACCTCTTCCTGTCTCCTGCCTTCATTCACCACCCCCTTCCTTTTTAAACAAACATCTACCTGAGAGACAGCATGGCAGCAGCCAGCACGTCATGACAAGCAGCACATATTCAGAAGACTAGAATAACAGGCACTCCAACCATGATGCCACTATTACACATTGTCATCTTCAATGCAGTTGAAGTTCACAGCTATCAGCATATACCCTTAGTTAGGGTAAGAATCCTGCCAATTAACTGCTAGCTTCAAAAACCTTCTGAAGATTCTCAGAATCATTGCCTTACCCATCTTGTACATATATTTTCTTGTACATATTTGTCCTAGCTTTTTTCCTTGCTCTGTCTTCATTGTCTAGTCAAATCCTCACTTTCCTTTTAATTGTGTTATACCTTTCTATTTGTATTTGCTCTTTTGAGTTCT